GAGAGGAAGTGAAAGGAGCTCTTGTCAGGTCTCACTTCCTCCAGTGTAAGGACATCGAGGCAATGAGTTTACTTTTTAATCTGGAAAAATCTGTGGCGCAAAGGAAGCAGATGACTGGCCTTGAACTTCCGGAAACAGAATGCAAATTTTGGGAACATTCTGTGGACCTCTTTTTTTAAATCTTTCCGGCAGAACTAGAGCCACATGGAGTGCCACATGGAGTGCGACAAGGAGCTCCAGGAAGAACGTCCTTAGCTCAGTTTGAGTGTGTGTGTGTGTGTGTGTGTGTGTGTGTGTGTGTGTGTGTGTGTGTGTGTGTGTGTGTGTGGTGTGTGTGTGTGTGTGTGTGTGTGGTGTGTGTGTGTGTGGTGTGTGTGTGTGTGTGTGTGTGTGTGTGTGTGTGTGTGTGTGTGTGTGTGTGTGTGTGTGTGTGTGTGTGTGGTGTAGGGGGTAATACAAGACACACATGCATATATATATAGATCTACCATACCGTCTGTTTGACCATTACTGTCAACTAGATGGGATCAGGACTATCACCAGGGATTGATGGTCTCTCCAGGGATTTTCAAAAGCAGTTCGGAAATACTCTACGATCTGATTTACATGTAGTTGTGTTGCAGTGTTTCAGAACAGTATCTCTTCCTGTTTCCTGTCACCGAGCAGTGCTTTCCCTGCTACCCAAGAAAAGAGCCCTGGACTTACTTAAAGGGGACCTATCATGCAAAATGCACTTTTGTATGTCTTTTATACATGAATATGTGTCCCCGGTGTTCCAGGGAACTCACCAAGTGTCAGAAAACACAACCCTCTCTATTTTCCTCCTTACCCAAATCTCTAAAAATGGGGCTGCAACGGATCTGATAAAAACTGATCCAGATTTGAACACTGTCCTGACGTCAGGACAGTGGCGGTACGGCTATTGGGTCAACTCCACCAATCATGAGGAGACAGCCACGGCCATTGCCGTTCGAAAGCGCTGGAGACGCTGTAGTACATATGCCAGGCCTGTAGATGGTGCTGTTCTCACTGAATCTGCCCTTGCAAAAACAGAGCTAAAAAATGTCAAATTGAGCGAAATGAGGCATGGCTAAAATGCATGATCTGTTTGGTATTTTGAAAAAAAAGTATAAATATGCCTATATAGGTATGGTCCTACACTATATTATTCAAATATCATGATAGGTCCACTTTAAAGCAAAAGACACCACTTTACACACATTTACACACAAACAACACCAGTATTGCAATGATTACGCAGTCCATGAGAAAAATGGGGGGCATATGATTAGATATAATTATATGTTTAATAATAATATAATTGTATAATTAAGACATTTTATATATTCTAACTGTTTTGCAATCATTTGTCATTGTTTGTTTCTTTTTGTGTGCTATTGTTCAAATAAACGTTTTGCCATTAGATCCTTATTGGAAATGCAGCTATTACACGCAGGAGACTGTTGCACAACATGACATTTTTGTTAGAAGTCTACACTGAAACTTCATTTAGAGCCGGAAAACTAATGGACTTAATCAAAATCACGGATCCGTGAATCCAGGTCAATTATCGAGAGAGACCAGTAGCCTACGAGTTTAGTCAGCGGAAACTTCACAGACTCAGATTCGCAAATCCTGACTCACTGTGCAAAACACGCAGACTCGTGCGGACTCAGAGCCGTAACCTATTAGCAGCAGATCCAGAGATCCAGCAGACTCGTCCTCATGCACGAGTCAACAGCAGACTCAGATTCGCCAAATCGCAAAATAACCCTTTTTTTTTGTGATCAACATTTTTATTAAGCAAATACACTGTGTAGCGGAGGTAATATAACGTCAGTTTAATATGCTCGTGAAAGCAACACGTTTTCTGTTTCACCGATAGATTCTACGGTCTTGGTGATGCTGACTCATAATGACTCAAAATGACTCGTATGATCCGGATCTCTTCAATGACTGACTCAGAAGACCCTCGTCGTAAAGGATCCGATTTGCCATCTCTAATGCAAAATTACATGCGCTAAGCCCCCACCTTTTGTTTCACAACATAGTGTGTGTGGGGGACTCCCCCTTCGATTCTATTGGCTCTAACGGTCAGAAAGAGGTGTCAACCATCAAAATCGACCAATGGGTTCAAGAGATATGAAAAAAAACAATTTCCACCCAAATCACCTCAGAGGTGGAGTGTTTTGGGCTAAACCTCTCTAAAAAGGTCAATGTCACTAGTTTTGCATCAATCTTGATACAGGGTACTTATTATATGTTGTACTTTGGATTCCTAAAGCTTTTAGTCTACCTTACCATCATCCAAGGGTAGTTTTCACTATAAGTAAAAAGAATCTTTGGACGGACACTATAATTTACAGTTTTTTACTATGTAAAATCTGAATTTTCTTTAAAATAAAAACATCTATATTGATTCTGACTTTTCTACATCCAACTCCACAGGTTTTATCATTACTTTGAGAATAAAGATTATTAATTGAACCCTTTTGAAGGGAATATGGTCATTTGTTCTGGGAATGTCATTTTCGAGCCTGAGACCTGAAAAACAGGCTCAGGCTTAACAGGTTAAAGTGTTTTTTTCTGTGGGAGGGAGTTTTTATTTATTTTTGTTTTTGTTTATTTTTTGTCCAAAATCTGGCAAGGAGAAACCCAGGTTTTTGTTAATTTTAGGCTTCAAGTGACAATTTGACAGTGATCTCATATTTCCCTCTGAGGTCCAATAAAGGGAGTTTACAAACCTCCCTTGTTCTCTTCCCTCTCCCATTCCCCCTCATCTCTCTTCCCTCTCCTCTCCTCCTTTCTTCTTTCTACTCATCTGTGTCTTCCTGAGGTCCATCCATGTTTTGTTTATATAAAATAATTTGATTTGATTACATTACATTTTCATGTTTCTGATGCGTTTATTCAAAGTGACTAAAAGTCTATAAACCCGAAGAGATTGGAACGCAAAACAAAGAAAAAAATGTAATTTGCTAGCATTAGCAAATGAATTAGCTACTTTGCTAATGCTTACTATTTGTTGTTGTGTGTGTTGGTTTAATGGTCACGGTACAAGCGTAACAGTCAGGTTTTACAGTTGAAAGATGTTGTGCTGGCCTGGTCAGTACTGGACCCATCCTCCTGGTCTTGTAGTGTGGATTGTAGGGGTTGTAACGGTTCACAGAATTCACGGTTCGGTACGGGTTCGGTACAACAAGAAATAGCAAAATATTATTCCAGGTTTGTTGTTATTTATTTTTGAACAGTAGTGCAAGTTTCAGTATAAATATAAGGAATTCTAACATTTTGAATAATTAACTTTATTACACAGTAAAAACAAACCACAAACAGTACCACACACACTCAGATGGCCATATTATCTATATTGGCTGATGTCAACAAAAAGGTTTCATCAAGCTGTAAAACTAAAAAGAATGTCTTGAAAATATTGAAAAATAAATAATAAGATAGTGTTT